ATAGAGAGGCAATAAATGAAATTGGCTTTTTCCTAGCTATGTCTAGTTAAGAGGTCTTGGATTTCATGGCGCACAAACATACCTTACGAAAAGTGGTGCAGCATGTATTTGCAGTATTGTCGCATCGTTCAGATTTACTGTCGCTTTCATCATGAAATAAAACGCTTCGATGTAATTTTAGGAAATATGAATTTCTTGTCGGATATTTTCCAGCTGTACTGGCCCAGCTGGAGTATCCGGATGAAGTTAAAAGTGGGAATTTCACATGAATTTGTTGTAAAATTTTCTTTCAGCTCGTACAAGAACACAATATCTTGGGAAAAGCTAGTGGAAGAGCTGGAAAGTCGTGGAGTCTTGCTAAGCGAAGAGAAAAAAATGTACGAAGAGAAGCTTCTGGCTGAAGCGCAAGCTCGTGAGGAGGAACACAGCCGTTATTTGGTGCGAAAAGCTTTGTTAGCTTTGAAATTTCATTTACATGTAGATTTTATTCAATGAAGCAAATGCAGGTTTCACAATTCTATCTTCCTTCCTTTGCTGCTGGTTAAATTTTCAGTTAAATCACTGGTCTATTTGCGTAATTCCTATTGTTCCCGTTCTAGATCCCATGCTCACAGTTTTTTAGTTCGTCCTCTCCGGTACAGTAATTTTGTCGAAAGATCCTTATCTGTATCTAAACTCTTATCGGGTTTTGTATTTAAACTCATCTACACTTCGGTTCTTTCAAAAGAAAGGATGTCGAAGCGAGTATGAAATTTTAGCGGGGTTAATGGCCATTCGAAAAAGTGTGTTTTCAAACATATACTTGTAGTGCCTAGAGCGAGCAAAAGACGAATTGGAAAAGGAACGGGAAAGGCTGATTCGAATGACTAAAAAATTAAAGGATGACCTGCAAAGTGTAAAAAAGTAAGTTTTACATTTTTTAAACTCTCAAATTTAAAATGCTCATGTTGCGGGTCGAGAAAAGTTGCAACTGCAGTTCCGTGTCAGCAGGTTGGTTAATGGTCCTGCTTTTACAGACATCTTAAGAAGTAACCGAAAAAGGTCTGAGTCTTTAAACTGTGCCCGGACACGATAGTACTAATTTTTTTTTTCAAAACATTTCATATAGTTTTTATTTGGGCGTCTGGGCAAACAAGCCGTAGAGCAACATTCTTTCGGTCACTGTACTGTCACACAAACTAAAAATTAATTCGTTCAGCTCCTTACAACTTACAGCTTAAGTACAGTCGGCCTCATCTGTTGCCTATTCACAACTCTTTTTTCTAAATTTATGCTGTGACCGTATGTGATCATTCGTCATTCATACGTAGCAGCAGTTTATAATTCGTTGTTGGCTGATACTGGGTAGAAATTTTCGTATGAACGACGTGACTGTATTTTAAGCGAACTTAAAATCACCAATGAAACAAAGCGAACGCTGGAGCAAGAGAAGATTTCGCTAAATGCAAAAACGGAACATCTTGTCAGCAATATGCAGGTCAGCATACTATCCAGTGCAATCGAGATTTGTTAGGGAACCTTTTTCAGTTTTAAAAACAAATAAACTTAAAAACTTCTTTTGCACAGAGTCATTGACCATTTTGCATGTTGCACATACTCGTATTAGTTGATTGCGACACAACTAGTCTAAGAGGGAAGCAATCCGCAGTCTTACAAACGAGTGGTTCCTGTCTTACAAACAGCACGATACCAGACCGGTTAGTTTTTAGTGTTCCGCCTCTCGGAAAGAATGAAATGCGGGAGGGATTTTTACTTTTAGTAGCATTTACCTGA